ACAAGGGAAAGAACATAGGAGGCAGCAAAGAAGCCAGTTTTAAAGAAATGGGCTCCCTAACACTGTATACATATAGCCAACCAAAATATATACAACTGCTTTCCTAAATAACTGTAATGATTTTGTTTACTTCTTGTCACAAATAAACCACGACTTTAATTTCAAAATACACCTCTGAAGTACCTTGAAACATTTCTGCAAGTGACAAACTTGTACTTAACAGGTGAAAGTAATCACTGCACAATGCACTAGGTCCTACTAATAGGAAAGAAAGAAAAAAACACCCCAAAAACCCAAGAAAAAGAAAAACAAACCCAAACCGAAAGTCACCACAAACAATACCCCCAAAAACCCACAAACAGTTAAGTAGAAGCCAGCCTTGTTTTAGAGCCACCTCACCAGGCAGCTACACTTCACTTTCACTCCTCCTCCACCACACTCTCCTTTCCCAATGAGCAAATTGTTCGAAATGACCTACAGGCTCTTTCATAGCACTTCCTCAAGAGATGCATGTGCTGACCAGCCCCCTCCACAAACAAGTTGTAAACATGAAGCCTCTTCCTATCACAACATCCAATCTTCACTACCTCACCTGCTTTGTTCTTCAGATTTGTGGTCACGCCATTGAACTCCGATTTGTCAATTTCCCATGCCAGTGGAAGCTTTCCAAGATCGCCAGGCAAGCTTTCCAAGTCAGCATCTTCACTGTAGATTATCTCTGAAGCACTTAGGTGTGTTATTTCCAACGTTTAAGGCAGCACTGCCTGACAGGCAGGCACTAACTGAAGCACTTGGGCTTTTACAAATAGATGTTACTCTGTTTAAAAAAGCATAGTCTGAGCAGATGGTATAAAATTTCTCTCGTGTATGAGTCACAGGACATCCCCATGGATAATGCCCATCTCCCCTAGACACCAAGGACGCAGCGGAGGCGTCTGACATGCAGTACGGCTTCACGGGATCACGAAGAGAAGCTTCTGGGGATTCCTTCCCAGGTTTGTTTTCAGTGTTTCCATTATTTCCAGAACCATTCTCCTTTTCATCTTCTGAAATGTTAGGCATTGAATGATACTGAAAGAGTATTGTACACCTAAGAATATTTTTTTCTTTATGTTTTAATTACAACAGAGTTTGTATCATTGCCTCCATTGCCTCTGCAAGGTATCAACGAGGTATCTAAAAGAAAACGAGAAGTTCGTACAGGTGTCTCAATCAACATAAAATATACACAAAGCTTATCTTTGAACTCATATCCAATAAAAGTGAAATACCTTTCAAGACACATCACAACTACACTGTGTTTTTTCCTAAGCATCTCTAGAATTCTACAAACAGCACTTTTTATTATTTGTGAGGTGCCAACAGCATACACCATAGTGATACCATGATGAAGACGACATGAGTAATTACACTTGTAAACCAGCACATGAATAAAAAAACAAAATTAAAAAAAATGAAAAGCTTCCTACGTTTATGTAGTTGTGGTGATCACTTCTATTCCTTACAGTCACAACACCTTGCATATATGGAGTACAAAATAATTTATACAAATTAATAAATCACAGAAACAGCAACTTAAGGTCACTTCATTCTGAAGAATCCCGCATACTTTTGCTGCAAGTGAACTTCAAGCTTACAGAAGATTACAGTAACTATCACCTCTGTTGACTATAAATTGACAACACTACCCTCAATCTGTTTCAATGCTTTCCTCGTACGGCTGTTAAGGGTTCCCTTTTATTTTTACGTGCCTCCTATTCTTCAAGATGTGAGAAAGAAAAGCGTCAGGTTTTATTTATAGCAGCTAAGAATTACCAAAAACAAATTTAGAAGGCTGGCTTGCTTTTAATGATCTTTTTTAAAAAGCAAATTGATAGTATGTGTTATCCGTCATCTCAGCGGTTTGCACGTCTGCGGTGCGAAGACGGGCGCCGCAGATGGGAAACCCGGCACGCGGGAGTTCCGCTCCCCCCCGCCACACCGACTTCTGGTCACGGCACGGAACCCACACTGCACGAGCCTTCCTCCGCCGGCAGCGGGTCTCGCAACCAAACACAAGCAGGGCTCTACCTGAAAGACCGCAAGGAGATACCCAAACGCACGCAGGCACCCCGCAGCTGCCCGCAGTGAACGCAGCCAAGCGGCGCCCGGCCCC